GTGGGGGGGTTAAAAAGGGGGGGGGGGGGGTCAGAGGGGTCCTGAACCCCCCCCCCCCCCCCCACACACACACTTTCAGTCTTTGATTTAAAAAAATCAATCTGATTTTCCCCCTATTGGAAATAGAATTTTGACGAGCTGATTTGTATTTCTAAACCATACCAAATGGTTTCGTTCGAGTTCTAAAATACCCAAATATTTCTGGGCCCTTCAGAGGGCCCCGTACCCCACGCCAACGGAGGGGGGGCGGGTCGGCTTTGCATCTGTAGACTTCAGATATTCTTGGATCTGGGACCAGTGATAATATAGTAGTAAACTCCTCACCGGACAGAAATGGCCACAGCTAGTAAATAGCCAGAGAAATGCGTGTGGGTAACAAGTAAAAAAATCTCTCTGCGACTCCAGTTGAAGGATAAGGAAGATTATAACTTGAAACTTGTGTAGGTACACGTAAACTCTTGAGGTCGTCTGCCAATGAGAGCTCACCTAAATGGCTATGAATAACCACCTGTTACAGTTATGTTTTTTGTGGGGGTGGGGTGGGGGGTAGAAAGGGGTACATCCAAGGCTTAGGAAGGGAATTTAACCCTGTGAACCCAGCCACTGGCTGTCTACATATGCTGGCCTATGCGGCGGTGAACAACAAAAGTTAATTTCAAAAGCTCTCGTTATCGACTACATGCAATAGAGACGGTGTCGATTTAATCTCAATCTCTTTTCTGCGAAGGTGTGTATTTAAGATAAGCGGGTTGACTTCTAAGAAAAGTCCGGCAATAAATGAGGCACACCTCAAAAAAATGCTCATCATTTATCTGTTTATACCCTCCCCCTTTCATTTAAGGTTAAAAAATAACTTCCATGGAGATAACTTGGATGATGTCATTAATTCACATTTCCACCTTTGTTGATATATAACAGACACACATTTATGTATTCTGTACGTGTAATATAAAGTAAGCACAGAATATCAAGCTTTTGGAGGAAATTTTTAAATGAGTGGCGTAGCACGGGGATTCACTGCATTCGAGATCAGCAGGACCGATATGAGCCTCTGTTCTCTTAATATATATAGATTTTTGTAAATACATGTATCTCATGTATCAGAAACTTTTAATCTCTCTCTCTCTCTTTGTATGTGTGTGTGTGTGTGTGAGTGTGAGTGTGTGTGCAGTGGCGGATTTAGAGGGGGTCAGGGGGGTCCCGCCCCCCCCCCTGCGGTTTCTGAAAAAAAAAACACTAATATTACCCTCTTGAAATAAGAGTTTAAATTAGCTGATTTGTAGTTCTTAACAGGTCCAGATGACCTACAAGACACCAAAATATTTTGAGGCCTTTTAGCGGGCCCCAAACCCCACCACAAGGCCCCCCCTCCGATTTCTGAAAAATATCACAACAATGGTCTCCTCTTGAAATTAGAATTTTGACTAGCTGAATCATAGTTTAAACCGTACCAAGTGCCACCGTTCGAACTCAAAAATACCAATATTTTTCCGGACCCTTCAGCGGACCCCAATCCAAGGGGGGGGGGGGGGGGGGGGGGAGGTCGACTTCGCATTCGTGGACTCTCTCCCCCTTCAAAAATCCTGGATCCGCGCCTGTCATAGTAAAAAAGTAATCTATCTAGGAACGCTCCGTTTCGGCTTTTCAAATAAGTGCTCGTGTACATGATGAATTTTAACGTTGTTGATGATAACAATTTCACAAACTGGCGGTGCGAGGGATGAAATACATAGTGCTGTTCACGGCCTATTGATTGTTATGGCAGATACAAACATGTACAGCCCAACTGACCCTCTCTGTGAGAAAGTAGAAAGTTTTCATTTGATCCGCAACTAACCAACGAAGCGTCTGTGGCTCCGTGGTAACGTCGCCGACTTGGGCACAGTTAGAGACGGATGTGTAGGTTCGAATCCTGAGATTTTCAATGCGATTTTTTCGCTCGAAATAATTTCTAAAAATTGCTTTTGGTTACTATAAGAGGAAACTCGAACATATGGAGGGTGGGTCGGTCAGTCACGGTGTAGTCGGCAGCGTGCTTGGTTGCAAAAAAAAATATAAGCCATCAGCAAACCATGACAACTACAAGTCACGAGTTCAAATCCCAGATGACGCATGTCAGTTCACCACAAGAACCAGCTGGCCCCGAAAACGAATGCAAACTCTCGTGTGTTCTAGCAAATTACCTTTTGCTTAAAAATCCGGTATAGTTTAGAATTGGCGATCGATTTTGACGACACCTTATTGCGCGTCATTATCATAAAGTCTGCGTCGTTAATTATATTTCTTTTCTCTTTGCTTAAAGTCTTTAAAACGATAGTTAGGCGGGGATGGTCATAAATCTCTATCCTTTACCAACTACGCAACAGATCAAAATTGGTGATAAAAAAATTGGCGTCATCCATGTCATACAGCTCTTTCATAAAAAAACTGTCTGCACGTTGGGATTATCAGTAAGAAAAGTCTTTTCAAAAGTCACATTGCCACTATTGCTTTACTTAATCATACATTTTGTTTTTTATGCCCCACCTATGGCCTTGCTTATCAAAACTGTACAGAGTATATTTGAACGCAGAGGAAGCGTCTGTCATACGGTATTCGTGCATTAGGTAAACGCAAAAGGCGTTCGATAAATATACCCAAATATACCCAAAGGATGTATTAATGTACGACAGAAATACTTTTATTTACGGTAATTAATCGTTAGAGACACGTCATATGCGTTACTAGTTCGTCAGTATTACGTTGCGTATACGCTATCCGTACACTGCACATATAAAAACACCGCATTAGAAGTGTAGATGATAGGTATGTTTAACGTCAGTTTAGCTTATTCGCTGCATGCCTAGCGTATCCAAAACGCATGGGTAACGCACGACTCAAACGTGTGCATACGCTGAAAATATGTGAACATGCTCAAAAATCTTTTCCTTCTTCTACGTAAGTAAGCGTATACCAACGTTTGCATGCGTATGCAAAACGTATACGGCATAACAAATAACGAACCTACTGCCTTTGTTTGAGTATTTCCTACGTTAGTGCAATGCGCTATAGTGTGACAATGCCAATTTTTTTGTCCGTTTTGGTAACGTTTAAGTTGTGATATTGACGTTTATACGAATTACAGTTCATTTTTGGCTTTAGCAACAATTTAATGTAGTTCTTTTTTGAGCTAAATCATAGTAACAGTTAGTGGACCACCAACTAGATCGGTGTTGTAAAAGAGCCACCTTCCCATCCTTTCCAACTGGTAAAGCTATGATGATAATGTGAAATGGTAGTACATTTATACCACAGATTACAAAGCGATGGGATAAGTTTTCCAACGCCAATCAAGCGTTAGCCATACGTTAAACACGTTAATCGATCGTTACAGATACATTCAATACGTTACTAATTCGCGACCTCGGCGTTATTTATGGCTAAGCAAGGGCCAGGCTACATCGGTCACCGTATGGGAAACGTACTTTTTTACGTAATTCAACCGTATGCCTGGCGTATCCCTAAGACCCTAACGTAAGGGTAACGCTCGTATACGCTGAAACATTTTGAACATTCTCAAACGTATTCATATATATTACGCGGAACGTATACGAACGAAGCCCTTGCGTTTGTCTGCGGATATGTAAATTTCCTGATACGTTGGAGAAATACGCCTTAGTGTGACAGGGCCTTAAGGCAATGCAACACCTAACGCATAGTGTATAGCACTGAGGGGTGAGAAAAGTTCCTCATACGCAGACAAATGCTAAGGGATCGTTAAAATTACGCCGTATACATCTAGCACGAACGCGAAGTTAATGTACGTTCGTATACCAGGAGGGAATAAAATGTTTTAAGCATGATCAAGATCAATTGATTTATCTTCATTTTAATACACTGGAAACATGGTAATTTCACACGCTCAAAGTTGTACGTATAATTGATGTCACATGCAATATTCATGCGTACATCTTAACGCTAGGTGTGGCAGAACCATTTCTCGGAAACTTGTTCATTGCACATTTGGCTACACATGCTGATGTTTTATCATGCCAGTGGTAACAGTGCATTCCCTTACTTTTTTGTTATTGTTTTACTGCACCTTGTGTCACGAATGACAGTTTGATATTTCTTGGAATGTTGTTTCTTGGAATGTGAGAGTTCATATAATTTGTAGATTGCATTATGGAAGGAATAAATTGTGCACACAACGATCTTTTATTAAAAGCAAGATGAAAACCTGACAAGTCATGCATCATAGACAAACTACGAAATTGGAAGCCTATTAGCAATTGAACTAATAAAAACAATATCAAAAAACATATATAATGTTAGTAGTTTGAAAGACGGCTAGGTACCCGTACGTAACGAACTTTAGTGACAGCCGACTCAGTAGCCAACGGCTATGCCTGACTAGCGGGAAATAATAAGACTCAATTTGATAACCCAGACTCAAAATGGAAGACATACAGGGTGCCCCCCCCCCCCCCATAAAAAAACATAAAAAATCATTTTCTGTGGGGGTATCTCTATGATAATGTGTACCTCCAATGCTGAGGAGGCCATTTCAACATATTTTGAAAAGAACATAATTTAATGCAAAGCCGAGATAACTGAAACTTCTGGGAATGATCATGCACGCACTGAAGTTTATGTCCAGCAAATTTCTTCAAATTTGATTGACCTTAGTAGGATTTTAATTATTTTTTTGTTTTCAGTTTTTTTCAAAGGAGCAATATCAACAGAGGATGACCGACGAAAAATTCAAGGGAGGCGCTACAGCAGGACCATCGGGTATTTATAAACCCCCAGCAGATGGCGCCGCAGATTACACCTTGGTTGACACTCAAGAGGATCTAGAGTCTGCACTTAAAACACTGAGAAGTGTGCGTAAAGAAGGCCCAAATCTAGCTGTCGATGGCGAAGGCGATAATTATTCCAGAAAAGGGAAGCTGTCTTTAATTGCCATTGCAACAAGAGACCACGCGTTCCTGTTTGATGTCCTCAAGCTTGGAGCTATTGTTTTTGATCGCGGACTTCGCGAAATTCTGGAGGACCCAACACGCGAAAAGCTGATGTTCGACTGCCGCGAAGATTCCGATATCCTTTGGCATCAGTTCCGCGTGAAACTCGACGGTGTCCAAGACATACAGCTTTTGCAAATCATGCATAGCAAGAGAGACAACCCTGATATTTCGCCAATCAATCGAAGACGAGGCTGCGTGGCATTCTGCGAAAAGGTATTTAGTTTGATGCGTTGCCTTGAGGTTTACACCCACGATGTTACGTCCATTGAAGTAAAGAAATCTATTGGCTCAACCTTTCCACTATCAACACATCAATGGGCAATCAGACCTATCCCCAAGAACATGATCAAGTACGCATGCGTCGACGTGTGTACCTTGTTTGTCCTCTACGATAAAATGAAAATGGGCGATGAAGACATGAGACGGTTGAAGGTCGCATCAGCGCGTTACGTCGACCTAAAGCGTTCGCTAATCGCACGCCGTTATGACATTTATGAGAGAAATGGGTACTTGCCACTGAATATTATACCTCCAAAAGAAAGTGTTGGTTTGGGGACCTCGTGGTATCTGTCCAATGGTGGCCCTGAGTGTATGGGCTGTAAAAGGCGGTTTCCGCGGGAAGCATTCATTGACACGGATCTTAGAAAGGGAACACAAAAATGCAGAGTTTGCTTGAAGGTTGAAAGTTGCTGATTAGATCGTAATGTAAAATGGATTGGGTGTATAAATATTTTGTAATTTTCAGATAAAACACTGATAACACGGCAGTGTTATCAAAACCATTCTCATCTTTATGAAATTCAATTTAATCTAGAAACTCGACGTATAATTAGAAACAAAGATGAGTCAAGCCAAAAACTTTTAATTTCAAGCGACCACCAGGGCATACTGTGACGAGGAAACAGAGACCAGGAAGTAAACCAAAATTGGCGGATCCAGTTCGGAGTCATCTGTAAACGATTCAGCTTTTTGATAATGATATGTTACAATCTATTCATTTTTCGCGCTTAGGCTAAATAGGTCTTTCCAGTTAGAAGTCTGGTCGTATTGCAACCTGCATACCCTTGAAGCGTAATAATGTTGGGGGCGAGGCAAATACAGATATATTCCTAGTGCAGGGGCGGATCCAGAGAAATTTCCTGACAGTCTTCCAAATTATCTTTGTTGATTCATCCTCCATTTGTTGATTCATCCGACAGAAAAAATTAGACACCCGTCAATGTAAACTTGAAAATCTGACCGTCTTCCAGAAGACCCAGAAGACAGCCTAAATCCGCCCCTGTAGTGATAGATTTTATAATGTTGATAATGTACTCGAAGAAAACGTTTATGTATTCTAGTTAAAATATAGGCCTACTCTTCAATAAATTAATAATATTTAGCCAGTGTCCAAGTATAATCAATAGTTTACTTATGAAAGTGAAATATGATTCACTGACTCGTTGTGCGTGCCTATTCTGTATAAAAAGGGTGCTCAAAAACGTTAGATAAAGACCCTGGGGGAGTCCACAAAGACGACCGTTCTTGCCGTTGAGCCACTGCCTGTAGTTCGTGTGTGAAGAATAAAGAGCAGTGTATTAAGACGCTCCATTTGTTTTTTTTTTTTTTCTATTACGCGGCACTTTTAGTGTAATCACACCGGTTACACATTTGAAGTATATAAGTTAATTTTTAAAAATTGGCCAATTTTCGTAAGAGTATTTTGATGTTTCCTCGTTTCTTCAACAAGTTGTAAATTTCGTTACAATACAGTTATAAATATTCACATAAGTTGGTTAACTGTGTTAAAATTTGAAACAAGGAACCTGAGTCTTTGGTTATTTAAACATTGTTAAACCAGTGTTCTGAACCGTTTTAATTTAAATCAAAATTTCAATGAAAAGCCTCTTTTGACTGCTCCGTGCTCCTCCTGGTACTGGTATCTGAGGCTCGTCAGTGTTATAATGATACATATAGAGATACATAGATATACTAGCAATCTTCCTTCTCTGTATTATTCTTATTGTTATTACTATTATTATTAAAGCATTTGTTTTGGTTGTTTAGCATTTGTTCTTTAATTGTAAATTTTGAATTTTGTGTAATTTCATCATATTCTTATATATTTTAGTCTCCACTATGTCAAGTACATGTACCTGTATCATGTTCACGTGTAACAAGCATGAACAGACTTACCAATGCAAACCAGTTTTACTCATTATCGTTTTGGTCCTGAACAAACATTTGACGTATATAGTTCATAAGGTCTGGTAGAAAAATCTGATTAGAAATGAACATGCTATTCCATATTTGCGAGTGTAAAATATTTGGAGTGTTATAAATCCAAAATGTTCCAGAGTAATTTCGTTTGGGTCCACTAACTTCATATTCCTTGCCAATGTGCCATGATTCCTATTAATGTGTTGGGAAGCCAATAGGAGCAGTCAAATTGACACCTACTTTCCTGTGACCTCGACCGTGACTGTCACAGGAAGGGTAGAAGAGCGCGAGTGAGTACTTTTTTTATAAAAGCAACCAAGCCCAGTCCCTACAAAAATGTCAAGATTAAATTAGCCTTATTACCGTCAATATAGGCCTTCTTATGGGTAAGAAGGTATAACATGTTCTGAGAGGACAAAGAGTTATGTTTTTTACTGACGACTTACAGAAATTTGCCACATCTACTGAGGTTAGCGGTTTTCAATAGGCTTATCTATTAATTTATACTTCGTTTAGCAAAATCTATAAACAGAAATTACATTCGCGAAAATGGAAATGGTTTAAAACTATCTTGAGGGACACCTTATAGACTAAATTTGTATCTTTAAATATAAAGTTCACCAACAGCGTTGGTCGGCTCGTCAACTGTTAATTCTTGCAGAACCGTGTCTCCGAGTTTCAGCGTTTCTTTCATTCCGAGCCCCGAGGAAGCTCTCTCTCTGTGGACGAGTGGTATACTTCCCTCTAAATCTTTGCACGGAACATCGACCATATATTCGGAGGTCATTCGGAGCGTTTTGTGATCCACAAATTGTCTACGGCATGAGATGCTTTTAAAGACGATTTTGAGGACTGCCAGTGAGTCGTATGGCGCATTCAGTTCCAAATGACCAAGTGGTCGACGATGAACTGGAAACGTTACCTTTTTTGGAACGTAGAGGACATCATCAGATGGCTTAATCCGAATATGTGTTTCATTTTCCTCATAAAGAAGGATATCGAGGTAGGGCCACTTCCATTGTTTTGTTGAATAGGAAGACCTCCCGGAGAAGAACCTGATAATAGGAATTTCAGATCTGTTGAAATGAAATCGATACTCCGGATGAAGAGCTGGCAACAATTCTAATAGTCTTGCCTCATCCTTGGCACTAAACAAGACATCGGCGTCGTCGTCCCAAGGAATGATATCATGGTGTCGGTATGATCCAAGTAGCGTTCCATCAAACATTATATATGTCAGATTATTATGTTTGCTCACTTGGTCAATAGTGGCCAAAAGTGCCATGAGAATCTCTTTTTCTTCGTTTGTTGTGTGTTGCTTAAAGTATTTTAACAGCTGAGTGTGATCATTTGAATTTTCCCTTCCGATGCATCGGTGTTGGCTTTCCCATTGCATCTTGACGGTCATTACCACAAACAGGCATGTCGCTATCAGCAGGAAGGACATTATTAGTTGGTAGTAAGTTGGGCGAGGCATTATCGTCACTGAAAAAAAAAGACGAACATGAACATAGTGAAGTTGATTCACAGTGCCAAAAGCAGTATTGATGTCCATGCGTTTTGGAAATTGGGATGTAAAACAACGTTGCCACACCACGCTCTTTATAAAATACACGGGCGACTTTCATTCGTGCCAGTAAAAATAAGTAAAGAACTTGGAAATAGGTCCACGGATTATACTTTTCTCGACAGTTTTGAACAGAATATATTTTGGTGATTAGGGAAAATGTAGAAGTTTCCAGGAAAATCATTTTTTTAGCTTTAAAAAAAGATTAACTTGAGTTTAATGCATTTAAGAAGCATTTGTCAATCTCTGCTATCAGGGAAATATCAGACTGTTTCAAGGAGCGCATTTAGAACAAGTTGATCCGGGAACTAAATGTGGCCGACTCACTTAAAAGCGATGCCGCTAATCCCCTGATGGTCTCGTTGCCTCCATACGCGCCGTCACAGGTAGTCCGTGGACCATCAGTTCTGAATACGCTCAAAATCTCTTTGACAATTTCTTATCTTCTGTTTTTGATTGATGCATTATCATCAAATCTAACTGTGTACATTTAGGCCTATAGTCACATAAAAATAGTTACACCAAAAACATTGTTTCACTGTACAAGATCATGAATTTCAACGCTTACCGATCGGTTGAGAGGCAGTCACCTAAGGTCAATAATTTCAATGAGTTGACCTCTTTGTTAACTGAATCTTGGATCTTCAATCCCACTGCATGAACTACTGGTACAGATATATACTAGTAGATGCGCCAACAATAATTTCTCAATTTACTTTAATTATTTTCAGTTATCTTAAAATTCGTGAACTTGTAACAAAGCAGTTATAGAATTAGTGTTTCGGTTATCTCTAGGCCAGGTTCAACCCGAGGTTGGGATAATTGACCTACGGGAAAAAAGGTGCCCTCAACCAAAGTTATAAATTGTATAGTATCTGCTTGGACATTCTCTTCTTGACGATCAAGAAATCTCCACTGACCTTATGATTATGTATCTGGCAGATACATCAGAACCTTTGACTCACATTTATTCTTCTTTTGGTTTTTGGCCCAATGGGTGCATGTCCTTTGATGCATGGGATGGGACCACCACGGTTTGCTTATGTCTTCAGTGGGATTCCACGCTGGCGATGGAGGTCAAATAGACCAGTGCCCTCAATACATGTTACCCGGGCAATGCTTGTTTAATACTGGTACAAGTATGTGTCACTATGTACTCAGTATGTAGGGGCCTAATGAAAAGCAGCATGCTGTTCTGTGTTAATGGTTCGTTATCTAGGGTCAGTTTACACAAGGAGTTATAACAGAAGGAGATTACACGCAAGCCTTTCTATTGTCCGATGTCTGTTACGGTGGGCGGAGCTAGCTACGGGGGGCCTCCGGTCTCAAGGTTTCGTCTGCGTCGCTCTCCTCAGCTTGGAGATAAATTTCATATGCGTTATTTCGCGTTAGAATTCGAGATCAGTAATGTCAAAGCGCCGCTGTATGCTGACGATTTTTTTCACAGGTAATTATTTGGACGATGTGCTGGAAGGGAACGATATCATAGAAAGCGATTATAAGGTGGTGACTGAGGATGGTCGCCATGAGCTTTTTTTAGTCGGTGATAGATGGCTTTTTTATGGCACAACCCGGTGAAAAATCACCAAGGAGAAGTCAAAAGAAAACGTCCCAACTGTGGTTTGTGAAAATGACATTCAANCATGTGCATCAACCACTGAGTAGAAAATGGTTTATCTACCAGTATAATGTAGCGTAGTTAATTGATTTATTTTAGAAAAAATGTCATGAAGAGCATTTAACCGTTCGTCTATTTAGTGGTGTAGTACACGTAGAACGGTGTCGCGCGGGCCTTCTCGTGTCTGACACACACCCAATTTCCATAGATTTTTAGATCGATCTATCCCTGTGGGGAGTCTCACTAGATTACTGTCAGCTTGGCCGGCTTAAGCGTCTGTCCCGCCTACTAAAAGCTGTAAGGAGGTAATTAACTATGGTGCCCGCTCGGCTGACTGCAATTTAGCGTGAACCCCCAGGGAGTTAGGTCGATCTAAAACTTAATCTTTAGATCGATCTAAATCTCTTGGAAAGCACCCACATACTAGTAAAACAGTGGCAAGTCAAAGGCCTTGAAATGGGCTTTCGACTTTCAAAGAAATAAAATATTTCTGAAATTGCATCAATCTCCACTTCATTACCCAGTTTAAAAACCGTTGCTAAAATCACAATCTCTATACCTGCTTCTGAGTTCTAAATTTCTCATTTATACGATGGCGAGTGACATTCACCTGTTGTCTTATCCAGGCAGTTCAAGGGCTGCATAAGGTTCCCTTCCAGTGTAAAGGGGGCTTTAGTTACGGTAACCGTGTATTGATACTGACAGCATTTTTGCAGGTCTATAATAAGCAATTTCAAATAATTTGACCTTTTTACCCCCTTAGTAAACCTTGATTGAGTATTGGCATAAAACCTAGAACAAATCTTGATTAAAAGGCCTACTTTTCTGGCCAATAGAACCCCTCGGTGCATTAAAATGATCTTAAATTCAAAATAAGGGATTTGCGTTTTTTGTGACCAGGTATTCATATGTTAGCAAAATAGAGTTGATTTCTTCTTTCTCTTCTATGTGACACCGTATGAAATAACACTTTTGGTATACATGTTCATTGTAAGGTAACAAGATTCTTGATAACAATTTATTTTAAACAAACAAATTTATCATGAAAGTGACTTTTGGAGGCACAAAAGCTTTGAAACAAATACAAAATCCTTATTACATTTAAATATTCATTCCGACAGGGAAGTTACACGCGAGAAGTACCGGAGAATTATGATAATGAAACGCTGAAAGAAGCCGAAATTGTTAAAACAAACGCTGAAGTTGTAAAAGTAAGAGCCCGATCAAAATTGGATAAAGAAGAAAGTTGCCTACTACAGTACTAGTAATGTCGGGCAATAATAAAGGAGATAACAGATTTTAGGCATTATATGGGTCTATACACAGTTTTCATCTGCAATTAACATTAATAAGTAGGCATATATATTTGCAAATGTAAAAACATTTAAAAATATAATAAATTTGAAAAATGAAGGCACAATTTAACGTTTTTAGAGTTTTTAACATGAGTTCCTAATTAATCCAGCGGGCAAGCACGACAGCTAGTCCAGTGAGCCAAAGAAAATGGCTGCTGAAAGCAGGTTCAGGGGCTGCGTTGCAAAGGTCTTTATTACAGACGCACCACTCACTTCCGCCCTCTTCTACGTCACATCCGGGTTCTGGGGCGATGTCTCCGATCACAAGGACGCAGCCTCGAGAAACGTAACCTTTAATAATAATAATAATAATAATAATAATAATAATAATAATAATAATACAATTAAGACTTCACAACTATAATGCTGAAAGGGGTTATTATGCTAAAATAGATTCTATTCACGTGACCCAATTTACTACTCACACCTGTACCGAGTTCAAAACTGTAATTGAAAAATGACATCATTCAGTACATGTATTTTAAGAAATTTTATAATGAAAAATGTTGCGTTTATCAACGCTGTAATGGATTCGACAGCCATCTTTTAGTAGCCTCGAGCTCAAATCTTGCATATAACTTCATTCATGAGGCTTACATCAGCGAAAAATTTAATTTGAAGTTACTCAGTAGCTTTAAATCAGATCTATGTCTGAAAAGTGAAATGATTTAAACCAATTTTAGAGAAAAATGTTATTTCTTTGACATTTGGTGGCCATTTTGGATTCGTCAAAAGGTACCAAAATGATTTCAAACAATAATAGGGTTTCCATTAACATATTTCTAGTGTATGGTTGGGCTAAAATAAATGTGCCGGTGTCAGCTAAGGGCCTTTCATATCCACGGGTGTATATTTCTATCGTAATTGGCGGCCATTTGAATATGTTTAGTTCCCTGAGGTTGCCAAAGTGACAATTAAACTAAATTTGCTTTAGGGTCCCCTGGGATCCCGAATTAAGAAAAAAGGCTGTATGGGAAAAAATAAATACAGAAGATTCCACCCGGATTTAGTGATATTAAGGACATTAAAATACATTTTCACATACACTTCAGCAAAGTAAAACACTGCGAAAATGACCCAAACACAAAGACATGTTAACATTATTAACACAAGTTTAAACTTAAAAGACGGAAATCTTTAACGCATTAAAGAACCTATTACAGGCAAATGAAAAGCCTACTTGGCGGAAAACACTCAAAATGGCCAAGCTTTGATTTTGGTTTTTCGAAAAAAAAAATCCCAACTTTCATAGTCAGTTTTCATTCAGATCTTTTCGGCGGGCTTCGCTCGTCCCCGTTGCCGAGGGTACGAAATCCGCCGGAGATACCCTAATTTTTTCCGATAAATCACTGATATGTGTGCCATGCTCCTACCTTGGTTATCGGTCACCTTCTGGCAGCCTGCCTCACACGCCACTTGCTTTGTCGCAGTACTCCCAGTGAAAGGATCCCCGCAGTTGCTGTTGAGCTTGGAGATGCATTCAAAACATTTAGTGGCGCTGGAGCCTGCGAAGATTGACAACTTTACTAAAAATTGAACCCTTCAAGATTGCTGATCACCGACCAGGAAAAAGACAGTAAAATAAAAAAATGATTTAGGAGACACATAATCAACTGCTGAAATTGCTATGACGTCCTTCCTTCCTGGGTACCTGTCTATCCTGAAGATTTCATCACAATTGTTATTTTGTTTTTGGGGCCGGGGGGGAGGGGGGGGGGGAAGGTGGGTGGGTGGTTTGGGTGGAGATTGAGACCACTGCGGGAACCAGGACTTTACTGTGGATGGGGGCAGAGGGAGAAACAGCATCAGTGTATAGAAGGTGCCTCCCACGTGAGCTACACTCATAAACACGAGGCCCGTTATACGAAGTGTTATTTTCCCCGTGTTTTATAAGTGATTTTAGATTTGAAACTTTCCTTTAAACAAGGGTGATTTAAGCTAATTATCTAACTGGTAAAAATAAACATACATTCCCTTTTACAAATTCCCATAATCCCCCTTCTTTCTATCTAGATTCTAAGACAAACAAAGACGCTATGTTCGAGTATATATATATATATATATATATATATATATATATATATATATATATATATATATATATATAAGCTCTAATTCACTCCTAGAGCAGTAATCAGGTTTGTGAACATATGGAACGCAGTCTGACCTTTAGTTCTATTGTGAGGCATGAACAGCTGCATATTAGATTAATAATGTGAGCGAACGGTTAGAGATACTGTGGTTTTAGTCTGTTTGGACATATATAACCGAAAGTAATCTACAACTAGAAAATAATTGAGAGTAGAGCGCAGACCTCGACCAAGACAGGTCAATTATCATTATTAATTACACAATTTATTAATTAAGCAATAGGTCATTAACAAAATCAATTACTCCCTAGCTACCCAAGGGGGTGTGCCAGACATATAACCTGATTACACTGAGAGCACTTTAGGGAGAATTCGAAACCTAGCAGAGTTAGGTCGATCCAGCTAGTACGATGGGTTTATGGAGACGCAGTCTAAGACATGACCTTTAGAGCATTTATAGAATTAAAGGTTCTTTTTCTACCATCAGTACACAAAAGACAACGAAAGACTTCTTTTCACAATTTTCAATTTAGTTGTTTTATATTTACTTTAGTATAGTGTGGTCTGATCATTGGACCAAGATATTACTTGAATCCTTGATCTTTACTTTTTACCATTTTTTTCGTCTTCTTATTATTTGATTATTATTCGATTATCCTAACCATTCGTTCTTCCTAAAAATACGAGAACTAAAAAAGAGAACACAGAGTTAAATGTACTTGGTCCGCATTTATTCGTAATATATGCGAAACCATTACCTGGTTTAGTCGGACTAAATAAGATGACAGGTACTACCCACGGCCAGTTAGGTAATGCCAACATTTCTGAGGCTTGACAAGAAAAGTTTGTGTTGTATTTGTTAAAGGAACAGAGAGGAAGAATCATGTAAGAAAGCGGTTAGTGTGAACAAGAAGGAACTTGGAAAGTCACGTTGGAAAAAAGCTGCATTTTTAATGCCTCTGCTAAGAACAAATTAAACCATTGATAATAATACCCACATAAACACACACGTTCTTTCTTACCTTGAAACAGAGCCAAAATGGCGACACCTAAAATCACAAAGTGATGCATCCTTGTAGCCGGCTGTCCCAGAACAAAACTTGCTCAACTGATGCGCAGAAACTCCCAACTGGCGTGCAGCAATCAGCTACTGCGGGGCACGAAATTTCAGGCCCAGAATAACTACGTGATTGATCGAGGACAACAGGCAAATCGAAGGGCGTCTATATAGCAGCGTAAATAGGAATTAGCTGGGATATTTGACGTGCTTTGGCGAACTAGGATATTTTACGTACTATGTCGTAGGCCTTTGAGACGTCCTTTTGTGTATGTTAAGCAAAAACTTCAGATAAAGTTGGTTTTAATTTTAGTCTACCACTTTTGCTCTCATCAAATTTGTTTTAAATTTTAAGCGGTTTTGGTTATGGAATATCTTGGTAAAGAAGGGAAATGGGCTAAAATCTAATGTATGTTATATTAAGGTCAACCCTCTTTGTGAGTGTCTTTACTAGTGTACTGATGTGTCCAATGCGTTAGAGGAGCTGTGATGTTCATCTCATCTGATGAATCTGTTGATTTACTGCATTAAATGTCCTGAATTTCTCTAAAGTTAAGAAAATTCAAATAAAGCTTGGGCTTGAAATAGTATATAACGTTTTATTAAGTCACATTACTTAAACGCTCTCCGAAGAACCAAACTCCCAGATTTTACTAATGTTGCAATTGTCTCTCTCGTTACCCCCCCCCCCCCCCCCCCATGGCTGTCGACAGTGAACGCATTTTATAGGTTTTGTTGCCAGTTGTTAAATCGCGTGACTTTTAAGCATTTTTCTTTTGCATTTTTAAAACACACTTGAGTTATACGACTTTCAAGGCAGATCCGAGAATCGGGCCCTGCAGACATGTCATTATATTCAAACATACACGCTTAGGTAGTGGTGGAGTGTGTTTGTGCGTGTGTGGGGCTGTTGAAGCTAACGGTTCATGCCTGCGTTCTAGAGCATGCTTTTAATTGCCGCCCATTGCAGTTACTTTACAAAGTATACATTTATTACACGATAGAGTGATCAAATTCATTTCCACTCTAGTACTTTTTACTTTTAACATAATTTCATAGAAGATAAAATAGATTAGAAATAAATTCCCTTCAAACCATTGAATTAAAGTAACAAATACCCCCCGCCTAATGAAAGTGGGCAGAAAATGGAAACCTACGAGTATGTAAAAAAAAAAAAAAAAAACGGTATTAATATCTGGCAGGAAAGGTGGAAATATCTCCGCAGTTGCCGTTGATCTTGGAGGTGCATTCAAAACATTTAAGCGCAGCTGGAGCCTGCAAAAATTGACAACTTCACTAAAAATAAACTCTCCAAGTTCACAGACCTCCGACCAGGAAAAACGACAATAAAATGATTTAACGAAATTTTGGAGACACATAATCAGCCGAAATAATCCCTTCCTTCCTGGGTAACTTCATCACAATTATTATTTGTTTCAGGGGTCGGAGGGTGGGGTGGAGATAAAGACCACTGCTGAAACCAGGGTTTTACAATTGATGGAGGCAGGGTCTCGGTCTTATTGATCTTCTTCCCCCGTACCAACACGGCCATCACACCAGAGATAAAGTGGTCCAAGCCAGTCCCAGATCTGAACATTACGTAACCTGTCTGACCGGAGAACATATTCATGTTTAAGGCAACAAAAATTCAGTACATATCCCCAGCACTTAGTTTTATTAACGTTTGTTTACGAGAAAAACAGAAATATTTGCATTTAGGCCTACACATTTTTAAATTCTGAAACATAGCCTACACGCATATAAGAAGATTCTCTTGACGATTCTATTCAGTTTATAGTCTGTGACATTTGTAATAAAATACTACAGGTTAGGCCTATAAGTATGAACCTTTGTTTTTCAGTTCTAACACCCATGCCTACAATATAAATAAATACTTACATCTCCCAACATTTAACTCATAGAGAATCCTAAGAAAATCAATTTCGATTAATAATGCGTCATTCTTCTGTGACTTCTAGATCAAAGTTTGGTCATATTAGATTTTTAAAATTTGTTCATATTGTATCCAAAATACTTCTCTTCAGCCCAGTACTTTGCAATAACTTGCTTCAATAGATCCCTGTCGACCCCCTGATAGTACTGTCGGGCTTCATCGTCAGAGGACATTTGATCTGCTCGATGCGAAGGCGGGAGTTTTATCTTGTCGTCTGCTCCTAGAAGACTCAGCACGTTTTTGGCGTCGTCTGCGAGAGTCTCGAAATATACTACGAGATCATACTGCATTTTGCACGGAGCACAGAACGTATTGAATGTATCCCAGTGGATGTTAGGATATTCGAGGGTAAATTGTAGAAAATCTACAAATGTAACCGTGCGTGTTTTATTAACGTCAGCCATCCCTTTTCTTTTTATGAGAAAGTCCTCTAATAACTTTCTAAACAGCCCGCGTGTTGGCGCCACCTGTTCTTTGTACGCCGACACAAGACGTACCAGAGGATGACGGACTGTCATTATTTTTAGGTAACTGTTTACACGACCATGGATACCAAAGTCAGTGTACGTCTTAAGTTTACGTACATATGGTTCGAAATACGGAAGAGGCATTTGGTTGTATTCTACAGAAGTGTTCATCTGCCCATTCAGTTTGAAGTAGATCTTCAACCAAGTTCTGCTGCCTGATTTTGAAATGGGACAAAGAATTATTCGGCTGATGTCGTCAACATAGTTTCTGTCCGGGATTTCGTGTTTGGACACCTTAATTGGTGTTCCTAGCATTATGGTTTCATTCTGGTTCTGGCACATCTGGAACAACATTTGTCTTCTCCGGTTCATAGTTTCCATCCATTCTTTAGGAACTCTAGCCCAGTGAAATTTCTAAAAAGAAATGAATTTGTTATCGAATACCATAAATATTTTATATTTTAAATATCTTAAACTTGTAATGGGAATGATTTAGAGCTAGCCTAAAACGAGACTATCGGCACGAGACTAGAAAACGAGCGATGGGATAAACCTAGTTTTCAGACAAAATACTAATACATGTACAGGTATAAGCCAAGAATGTCGTCTTCTAAGTACAATAAACAACACACAAGACGTGGTGAATACGTGCTGTTGGTTAAAAGACTCCCTTGTTACAAAAGTAAAAATTAAACTCCCTGAAAAATAGACTGCCAACATAACAAAGACACGTCCAATTTTACCGTTACGAGTGAAATTCATCAGTCTCTATCTACGTTACGAGAGTGAGTAAAAAATTATAAACATTGCTCAAGAATGTGCTTATGGATCGCAAGTCTGCAAACAATTTTGAATGTTACCTTAGTGAATCATAGTGGAAAAGTAAATTTCGTGAAAAATTAAAAGTTTGCAGAAAAAAGGCCTAACTTGCATTAATGCTTTACCTGTTGAACGATATCAGACATGTACTCGTATCTCCCACTTCCAGTTTTTATGACGTCCGTCCTCGAAGTTGAGAAACGAGCGGTGAAATCTGGAAGACAAGATATCAGCCACCTTCACGGGGACTATCTAATAAAAAAATCACAGAGTGAGCTATTTCAACTATCCACATACCTACTCACAGTTACAATAGCAGCTAAAATAACTTTTGATCACTCCAATCTCTCTCTCTCTCTCTCTCAATGCGTGCGTGCATGCGTACGTGTGGAGAGAGAGATGGTAGCGGATGGAAAAGGTGCTGCTTAGGGACATTCGATTTAGTTGTATATGCCAAGTGCCTTGTCACCTACCTATGGGATTCTTGTTCAAGATGTACATGGTCACGAGCACCACACATAGGCATAAAACGTAGAAAACCCTGCGGCGACCAATGTTGAATGAGCCATGATTACCTCTCTGAAATAGGGATGTAAGTTTATACCAGTTTATACCAGTCAAACACTAAAACAAACAAGAATTCTACGGGCATGAAGGCAGGTTTTTTTTCGGGGGTTGTTAAAATAAATTACATGTATTTTGTTTCTGGATAAGGTCCGCTATGAATTAAATAAGTTAATCTACATGTAGGCCATAGGACCTAGAGGATTTTATTGAACAATTGGGAGCGACTGAGAGGGAAAACCCCTTTTGAAATTACTATCAAGAGGAGTGAGCCACCTTAACTGCCTCTTATAACAGTTCACTGTTACCCTCTATCAGGACCACAACTTGCTTTTTCGCAATATATATTCACAGAGATGCCTATGGTTAAATTCACGGTTATTCTCCGAACTTCGCCTCAGAATAAATGTTCACAGAATGATACTGTATAATGTTTGTAAGCTGCCTCGGGATAGACCTTTATTGCATAAGAGGTGTGTAGTTGAACAAAATTGCGTGATAAAATAGGTCCAGGAACGCAGGAAAGCACGTGTTTAAATGGTATGGCCATGTCACATGGGTATATCATAACACTGACTCAGTATTTGAGCACGGAACAACAACTACCGATTTCAGCGTAGTTGGTGTTACATATGTAAAAGGTTTGAGAGCAGTCTAAACTTACCTCACCTGGCCTAAATATCCTATCGATGTACAGCTCGTAGTTAATTTAAGAATTCTGTTTTCTTTAAATTGTTAAAGCAATAATAACTGTTCGTTTGAGATTCAAAATTCCGCAAGAAATAAATTGTAAACAACGCATGGAAATATACACAAAAGTTGCTTTCATCACCGAATCTTTTTGGTTAATTCACTTTTAAAAAATCATTGTTGGCAAGTTCTTATACTGAAAATCTCCGTATCAGAGAAGAGTGAGCAAAGTAGAGTGAAGCCACAAGCGCACTACTTTCAATTAACGCTTGGACGATCACTTATTTGCGACCATGCTCAGCTTCGATCTTTATCTCAGCGAGCTAGGGTTAGGCTCTTTTGTTAGCAGAAAGTAAGACACCTACGGGGCAGGGCATGGTACTATTGTTAACAGAAACCAAACAGCGCATGGATGACAATGTTATTTCCATGGTTACCGCGCCAGGCCGTATGAACACCCCGCAGGGACCCGCAAAGTAAGTAAGGTTACTTCCCGGCGGCACTGTAAAAGGTCGCCAGCAATCGTTGTATGAAGCAATGCAATGAAGACCATTTTTGTGCGCCGACAACCAGTGCGACTAAAGATGAAAAATATCGGTATATTCTATATCGGTGTATAAGAGGCCTATCGGTCTCTTATTGGTTGTCAGTAGGTCCCTATAACCAGTAGCATACCACTTGCAACTGCACGGTGGATTGATGGTATTAAGTTGCCTGGTCGCTTACAAGTTCCTTGCCAGTCGCAAGCTAAGTAGCCGGCAGTAGGTCACCAGAAGGTTGCAGTTGTAATTGCATCGTCGATTGACGGTCTTTAGTCGCTTGGTCGCTAACACGTTTCTTGCCGGTCGCAGGTATGCGAAAATATGTGGCTGGAAGGTAGCAAGCGACCGCAATAAACGGTGGTCTATTTGGGCGAATATTTTTTTCATAATATGGCATGTATGCCTTCTAAATACCATGATCATAAATCATAATGTTTTAGAAAAGAAAACAAATTGCATTTGTTGGCAAGATTTTACACTGATTGTCAAGGTTTACATACGTCACGTATGTTAAACTTACGAAACCAAAAAAATTTAATATGAGGCTGAGAAGCAAAGTGCGTTTTTTCCCAAAAATATGCTGACACCCCCAATGTTTCATCGCTGTATGCCTTTTTAAATTTGGAAAGCCATATTATCTGAGTAAACAATGAAACAAATACATGAATGCAGAGAAAACGGAAAATGAAAATAATTCCATCAGCAATGTATAAGTCCTATTTATATTTATTGCCATGTTCTCAACCATTACAATTATATACAAATAATGTAACAGATCGTTAAATGTGCCCAAGAATCTTAAATAAAAATAGTTTCAGTACATACAGTTTAACATCCTTCCAGTGACTACAAGGATGAGTATGTAACAATACAAGATGCGCACGACCTGTCACGATTTAATTACGTTGTATTGTAAGTGGTTAACGCCTGGGGCTAAAAAGACAAAGGGAAACCACACAATCGGTTGCAAATCAGTTGCAAAGCAGTCGGCGACCTTTCAGCAACCGGTTGGATACCACAAATAGGTTTTTCGGTCGCCAGGAGGTTATCGGAACTGCACCGAAACCCGACGCTACTGGATATTAACCCAATGTTCTTTTGGAAACCATTTTGCCAGTTGTTGCAACCGGTCGCCGACAGTTGCAACCACTAACATTTGCAAGTCGCAAGGAAGTTTTTTGTTCAGTGTGACCGTGACTGCACACGCCTTGCGACCTCAAAAAGATCAATTATTAAAACAAGAAAATGTTAAGGGGTGTTAAAAGATAAATAAGGATTAAAACATATTCAAATTTATGTTTTTTTATTGCAGCACTGGTATCGTTTGGCAAGGGTGTAGTCTGTTCAAAAGTTCATAAAACATTGCTGGTTCTATTCTTAGCAAGGAAATGTAGTCTTCCTGATTTTCAAGTTCAAGTTCTTTCATCAAAGGCTCGTAATCGCCATGAAAAGGGCGGCTAGCATTCCACGTTCTCACCCAGTATTTCCGAGTTTTTTTAAATTCTTTTTTCTTCTCACCAGTTACCACGTTCCCACCTTTTTGAAAAAGAGCCATTTTACTAGACCTATTTTGTTTTCCTAGAGAGGATAGCAGCCACCATCACAAGGTTGCAACATATAGATCTTTGCGACCTTGTTGCTACCAGCGGGCAAGCGATCGCTACAATCCTGCATCCGGTTTTCAATCACCAAGTGACAGGTTTTAATATCGCTGGGCAAACGCTGTGTATGCTGGTATGCTTGAAGATGGTTTGTAGGAGGTTGCAGATACCTTACGGCAACATTGTGGCAATCGATATTGGACTGCTTGCCGATCAAAAATATGTCACAGCTTCTTAATTAGTTCGCAAAGTGATTGCAAAGTGGTAAAATCTAGATTTTGTGGTTGCAAAAAGGTTCCCAAAAGGTCGTAAGTGAAGTGTGACCCAGGCTTTGTATTCACAACAACGCTTATTTCGTACAAAGTGCTTGATAAGTTGGGCCCCAGTAACGTCGACAACACCGGGGAACAACATAGACTACGTACCAGAAACATTGGACATTTCTGGTTTTATTTAAAAAATACAAAATTTGCCCTCAAGGCCGGAACTGTCAAAGATAACACCAAAATTGGAGATTTTCTACCCCAAAGAATGAAATCTGGGTTGAATATTGTTCTCATACCCAATTTCAAAATTGCCTTGCATTTTGGCCCATTAGTGAGCCCAGCAGCTTTCATTTGATACCGAGGTACCAGATAAGATGATACACGGTGTCCACAGGGCTTCTCGAAAAAGAAAATATTGAGAAAAGTATAAGGATTAATCAGATCATGCCATGTTTGAAATTTGAAACGGCAACGAAAGTAATTATGGTAACAAGATATGAAAACCCCAGTTTCTGGCACGGCGACACGGACAGACACACGTGCTGGCGAGATGTACAGACTAATGATTTCCAGAAAAAAAAATTAAATCAAAATAAGTCAATGCAGTGAAGCTTTAATTTCAGCAGTGAAATTGCTGCTACGTACAATACACAGTGCAAACCATTTGTACTCTGTAGATTGCTTTTTTCAGTAAAAAAATTACATTAAAGTTGTTTCTGAAACTATAATGTATTTGTTACTTCTTGACGACTGTAACTTAGCTAACAAGCTCGTGTTCGTTGTAATGTAACTTACAGTATTAGGTCTGTTCTCCATCTGTGCGTTTCGTGCGGCAGTGGACTCCAATCTGCACTACCTTCTCATATGACTATTTCACAATAAGCTGTAACATTACTCATTTATGCCGTGTCTCGATGGTCGAACGGTAGGCTGTAGGCTTGGGGCCTACAGACTATGTCAGCAGTTTATAATAAAGTATACGGACAGTCAATGAAAACGCATCAGAAAACTTTCTTGAATTTTTTTTTTACCGAGAATCGATTCTAACCATTTAAACGAGTATAAGTGCACTTGTTTGGTCATAAGAGAGTGGGCTGATCACTATTTCATATTTCACATATTTCACATGAAAACTTAATGTGCCAAAGGAACTTAAACTATTATTTGATAAATAAATGATGCGTTTTCATTGACTGTCAGTATAGTTCATTGCTGTTTTTATACCTGCATCATGATCAGAGACAACGGATATCAAATGGCTTGTATATATATATAATACTGATTGTCAAACAATAATGAAGTAATATAAAACAGCATTGAACAATGCACTCAAGGTAAAAGCCATAGCAGTACACGTGACTATTTTTGTTGGTTTTGAAAGCAGTGCGGTTTCTCATCCAAGTTTCGGAACTTCACAGTTGCAAAGTTTTTTCAGGTTGTCTTGTAATATCATAATAATGTTATGTGAAATAAAAAAAAATTATATTAGATGCATATATTAAATGTAAGGTCTCTGGTAATTTATTTTAACGGTATGAGTAAATCCAGTTATATGATAACGACAGCCAGTGGCTCGCGAAATTCAGGGCATTCAAAATGATCGGGCGTGATAATAAATTCAAAGACGGACAAGTGAACGGCAACAATCCTGCATGAACCTGACAGATAAAGAAGCAGAAAAGGTTAACAAAAAGTTCTACGCCGAAATCCCCTATAATTACCCAATGCGTGCCGAATCCGTGCCTATTTGTTGACCTGAATGTAAACGCAGCATGAAATATTTATCTCCCCCACCACTACAATTTCTTTAAATCTCCCCCATAGACATTCGAGGAATAGAATTTCTGTTGCGACAAATGTGCATTGTTTCCGATCCCATTCCACAGAGCCAACTCGGATAAAATTTCAGTGTCCTGGTCAAGCGATCATTTAAATTCAAACAGCTGTTTCCGACTGTGTGGTGCATTATTTGATATTTCTCTACTAATAAAACGTTCAGATAAGGTTATATGTAAATTTGGCGAAACAGGGCATTTTATTTCGCAAAGATCTTGGTTCAGATTTCATTTTTTGCTGGTCATGTGACCTTTTACGTCATTTGCAGGCTTTGGATGGCGAGGGCAAATACGCTCATGGCGGGAGCCGAGAATCGTTATCGTTATAATAAGTTGCCAAACGTAAATCAAATCAAATTGGATTTCTTTCACACAACATAGTCCTTCAGTATCATTTAACCAAAAGAACGAAAATATGAAAAAGATATCAATTAACATCGTAGTAATCATTATGGTTACAATTCCCCCGGTTGTCATCATAATTTTACGCCATGCAAAGTGTTTCTCATTGATAAAATTCCAAGAATACAAACATTACCCTATGTGTAAAAATATGAGAAATTAAAAAAAAAAAATCTCATGATGGTCACTAAGTTTTCCTGTGTTTTGTAAACAGTGTAATCTTTTATTATAATCCAGTTCGCCACTGCTGAAGAAAAACAGAACAAAAATCAATTTGACACATTTGTGAGCTGAACAATTAAAACAAATATACATTCATCAATAAAATCACCAAAACTAGCTTAAATTATTCCTTTTGTGTACAACCACAGTACTTAAAAATTCTGATGACATTCCATGAATTCCCTGCACCAACCCTACAACTGGCAACAATTCCATGTGTAAGTTGCACACACATCTACCTGATTTCAAAATAACTTATAATATATAAGCCATCCTTTTGGTAAAGAACCCCTCAGGTATTCTAGTGTTTTTTTTAAATAAATAATAACAAAGTTTCTAGGAATACAAACAAATAAATAAAACCAGAACTTTCCCATGCTGATTAAAGTTTTATCTCAATAGATAGACATTTTAATAGTCTAGCTTAATTTCAACAAATTTCTTAAAATCAAAATCCTTCATAAATCAATGAAAACATCAACCTTGGCTAGTTTGTATTTTCCTTTTAAAAACTCAGATATTACAATACTGGAAGGCCAATATCTTTTAAAAGAATTTAAAGTTTAAATTAAAAACATGATCACTTCTTCTGGCACATCTTGTCCAATAAAACACTACTTTCACATCATAATTTAATCTAAAAGATTCTAAAAATATATTCAATTGATATCACATCCTTATGTATCAAGGAACAGATAAATTACTAGATAATATTGATAATTCATTAATAATATATATAGATTCTAAGATAAGAAAGCTCTTAATTGGGTGATTCAAATTACAGGGATTACGAAACAAATTAAACAACAACAACAACACCATAGGCTTTTCCACCCAAGTGTTTTACCTTGGTGTTCCATCTTTAATATTGTCTTTTGAGAGATCTTACCATAATAACACTAAAGGGGACTTCTCTCACTTTCACCTACTGTTTGGGGCAAAAGATACAAGTAGAGAGCATGTACTGTTTAACACATTCATTTTCTACTCCACAAATTTGCTTCCTGCTGTTAAATTATTCAACTGGCCATGCTGAGCACTAGAGCTCCATTTTGGTGATTCTTTTTATGCTAAAGAGCCTGTCAATCAAGCTTTTCATCGTCAAAAAGGAACAATAAAGGTGGAGCACTAAGACAGAACACTTGATGTAAAAACGCCTTATTTTCTATGGGAACAAGTCAACATTGTGTTAGCTGTCCTCTTGGCACAATCAAGTTTCCTAAGATTGCGTTAGGTGTGACTCTAGACACAATCAGTCTCTCTCCAGCTCGGTGTGGTCTATGGTACTGCTCAGCTCCCTGGCCAACTTCTCTGTCGCTGCTCCAATGATCCGCCTGGACATCAAGTCCACTGGACCTCCTGGAATTTCAATCAGAATGTGTTGAAGAATTAAACAAAAAACGGAAGTAAATAAACAAAGTATAAATAGACAAACAAGCAAACATGAACAGTTTAGGTATCTTTGGGAAAATAAAAAAGAAAAAAAAAGGACCAAATCTATCATCTTTCTCTTGTGTGTTTTGTACAAAACAACATTCATAGTCTCATACATGAAAGAAAATATTACCCCTCAACAACATGCAGTTTCATACATAAATGAATATATTACCCCTTACAAGCATATAAATAAATAAATAAATAAATAAATAAATTATTAATTATGTAATAAACTACCCTGTGTGTCCATAGTGAAAGCCCCGGCCTCTCTGGCTATCAGGTCCCCAGCAGCAATGTCCCAGCAGTGGATTCCAAATTCAAAATAAGCATCTGCACCTCCCTTTGCCAGCTGGCACAACGCCAAGGCCGCAGAACCCGTGCAGCGAATTCTGAGAGATAACATAACAGGATAATTAGAAAAATTGAACAGAAAAAATTTGTTGGCATTAAAGATGAAACAGAGATAGTTTTTAATAGCTGGATATACCATGAGGCTCAGGGCTTAATTTTGATATCTTTCAATTTAGTCCCAACTCCATGAAAAACGATGACTGACATCTGCAGGGTTGTCTGTTGAAAATTTGCCTCAACAGTATTAAAATACATATTAAATAGTAAGCTTAAGTTATCCATATGCTGCATGCAGTGAGTCTATTAAACTATTTGAAATCAATCAATGAAATAATTTATCAAAATAACAATATCTTTTAAGACATCATGTGAGAAATTGAATAATAAAAATAATAAAAAGATAATTCCAAACAAAACTTACCCATGCGCTTTATTAATGACAGAACGCATGTTCTTAAATTTAAATGATAAAAATGCCTCCTCCCTGTGAGCACCAAATTCTGTTAGCACCAATGACTTTGACAGATCTGGAGTAAAACCAATAAGAAACTTCATTGTACACAAATACACCACTAAGGCAGTAATTAATGTTACTGTTTGTAACAATGTATTACTATGTTTATACTCCAACTACATTTCTGATATATATCTTATATAAAATATATGGGGCTTGGATTTCAAAATGTATAACAAATCCAAAACAGTGAAGAGAATAAGACCATAACTATAAACCTTTTTATCTGAGTTCTAAATTGTTCATTTTTAACGGAGCTTGAGACAGGTGAATTTCCCGCGTAAAGGTAAAAACTAGATATTTAGAAATACTGGTTAATTATCATGGATCATGATTTTCTCAACAATTTGAGAAAATTAGCTCTAATACTTGGGATGCTTTGAGCCAATGTGTTGGAAGATTTGGGTCATATTTCATATAACTGCAGTGATAAAAAGGACATCCTCACCATCTTGACTTCCTGTCTGTATCCGCTCTCCATTAAGATAAGCTCCTTGACCCCTTCTTGCTGTGTACGTCTCATTTAGAATTGGATTGTGAATGATACCTATCTCCACCTGATAGAAATATAAAACTGTGAAAATTAAACAGTCTGTGCCTTTACTTAAACCTAATGGTCTCTAGGACTAGTGGTAAAAAAAAATAATAATAAAAATAAGAATAAGAAAAAATGAAAAGAAGATCAAATCTGCAGGTAACTGACAAATACCCTAAGACAATCACATTTGTGCTAGTCTGGTAGGTCTTCCTACTATCTCTGAAAAACTTAAAGATATCTGCCAGCTAAACATGCTCTCTTATTCAGACAAGAGCTTTTTCTGCAGAATCACAGAATTCCACTTTTTTACATGACCCCAGAGCAATTAAACACCAAAACATTTATGTAAGGTGTTTGGGCCCACAATAAATGTTTAGAGTTTTTTCTAAAACCCGGGCTCATGTCTACTTATTGCTTACATTGAAGAGATTGTCTATGGTCATGAAATGAAGAGGTTTATCAGAATAGTATGTACTTATACAACGAAAGGTTATTTTCTCATAGTATTGGTTCAAATAACCCAAGAAATTACCCAACATTATTTCTTACCTGCTTTTTAACACATAGTGCTATAGAAATACACACAAATGGAAAACTGGAATGAAAAAATGAATATTTTAGAGTTAATCATGTAACAGATGTTTTGTTTATCTGTTGATATAGATAAAGGAACCTGAACCTGTTTAAAAAAAGCTTAAAACGAGTCTTCGCTTTAAAACTGAAAACCATAATTTGCTTTAGCTCAGAATACATTTGAAGTGTCCCTTAAAATAAAGAAATTAAGTGCTAGAATTTGAGTCACATTGTTCTCTGAAAAAGTGAGAAAATCAGATTTCTTTAAATTCACAAAACTTGGGTGTGTTGTTATTATTACTTTTTGAATAATATTCTGATAATAATAATTATTTTTGAATAATATTCTAATATTAATTATTATTATTATTATTATAACACACACACATGCATGCCCACATGCAAAACATAACTAGGCATGCTAAATGATGGATGCACATAGATAAACAGAGATGACTAAAAGGTTTGATGGAAAAGGAGAACTGAAGCTAAGAGGAAGCAAAATTCAAGCAAAAGAAAAGAAGAAACATTCAGTTTCTGAAAACTTAGCATAAATTCAAGTGAATACAATTTCTTCATTTCTCTGTCCCAAGCTATATATAAAGAAAAGTCTACAGCTACGTACCTACCCATGGACAAAGTTAGTGGTGCCATCTATTGGATCTATCATCCAAGTTGGATTGTCTGTAAGTTCACTCCTCACTCCAGCTGCAGCCGTCTCTTCTCCTATAAAACTACAAGTTGGAGAAATGTGATTACAATTTCATCCCTGAATGTCAGGAAAACATTTATTTAATTTATTAACAAATTTGAGATCAAATCTGGATTAATTAAATCTATTATTTCATTTACCAAATACATTAAAATTAATAAACTTAAAATAAAAGTAAACTTTGCATTAAAAAAAATATAAGTAATCAGGTTCAGTTATAAAAGTGAAAGTGTCAGCTGTATTTAGGTCTGCTATAGATTATAACACATGCAACCTCTGGGTGAAAATATGATTGTCTTTAAATGAAGCAAACATGATATTATGTGCACTGGTCTGGGACCAGGAAATTTGACAATGAACTAATAGAGAGTTCTAATAGTAGCTATCACAGCACCTATGATGAGGAAATTTTTCTCTAAGCAGTGTGAACGCCATGTCTTCCACCTTCCTGTCCGTTACTGTGACTAGATCTGCTGACGTAGATTTGGTCGACAGGCCTTTGTCTTTTCTCTGAAAAGCCTCCTTGATCACCTGCATATCGAATAATAATAATAATAATAATAATATCTGCTGGAAAGTTACTTTGGTGACCATGCCAGTCTATAAGTACTTAATCATATAGCATAAGTGGTTGGAAAGAGTTGGTATGGTTATTTGTTCACATTATATGTAAGCAAAAAGTGTACATTTTTCACACAATATAAGATTTTTGTGCTAAAATGTATTTGCTGAGCACTCTGAAATCATTGGTGGACCTGTTATTTTTCTTGTTTTCAATGATTTGTTTTTTTAATTAAATAACTTAGATAAATGAATCATGATTCATCAACAATGTCATGTCTTCCTGACTATTCAGAAGAAAATACCGACATCAGGTAATTTCATTTGAGGGGTTTAATAATTTTAGGAATTAAGAAAGATTTGCAGCATATCCACACATAGAAAACATTACTATTGGGCATCTTAAACACAAAGAATACCCTTCAGTCCTTTGAAAGAATTTATTGCATAGCATAACTAGCACACCAATGAAAATAAATAAATAAATAAATAAATAAATAAAAGCATAGTTTCCCTCTCCAGTTGGACTGATATACTCCTGTCACTATTGTATAATACTGTACAGTACATATTCAGATATCTCAGTGTATATTAATATTAACGCCTACATGAAAAACTGTAATCCACATAAAGCAAACTCAGCTGTGTCCATGTTAATTACTAATCTCTAGTGTCAATGTAACAGTTGTGTTTGACAAGCTGTGCATCAAAGCTTGTGTTTATGAAGAAACAGTACATGGGATTGCCTGTTGTCCTTTGTTCTCTTAAAACATCCTAGATCACTACACATAAGGGCAAGAGGTGTCCTACATTGTGGAATTTTGACGGTTTAAAAAATTTATAAATATAATTTACCTGGTGTCACTGACTTAATTGTGTGTTCCCTCATCAGAGACATATTGATGTTATTTTACTAAATCATTTCTATGTGAAATACTAAAACACTACTGCAATACTGAAATACTAAAAGCATGTCTGACAACTAAACATGCCCAGATAAAGGGGTAATCCTAGAGAGGGGTGAGAAATGGCCATTGTTCTCGTCAGTGAGGCTAACCATATTCAGGGTATGTACACACAGACAGAAAACTATGTATTTGTGGGATTGTTACTAATGAAACCACCAGAACTACTAGTAGATACCAGTCTGTTGTCTTGAACAAGCACCTCGATGACGAGTGAACAGTTGTCAAAAACAAAAGTCCCCAAAGCTGGTGTTTTGAATTTGATTATGTAACAGTTTGGCATTACCAATGATCAATGTCACCAAGGTTACATGTAAACTAAAGGGCAAACTGTAAGGTTTTAAACATATTAAGGATATAAATAACATACTACTTCTAGTTGAACTTACCGGAGGACAAGGTACTTTACTTTTTGATCATTTGAGACAGATGCCTGTACCAAAAACGTATTTATCACCTCCTGACGAACTTCACCACTTGCCACCTATCTTTTCCAGCAAGTGTCTCGGCCTCCTTTGTTTTTCCATAAACCAAATGATACCTATTCTCTGTTAATATTAAATTCCTTCAGTCGCATACAGATCATCATGCATGTTGTATTTACCATTGAACACTCACGAACCGTTCATATTCAACCCTTAATTCACTAAAAAAAAAAAAA